ATATAAGCATACCTATAAGCTAGGACCCGACTTGTAGGTATGCTTATATACTATTCATGATAGTATAATATCGAACATTACAAGAGCCAAACACCATTAGATAACAATAAAGCTAAATTTATAACAATAAAGCTAATAATGTCCATCAAAGAAATCCTTATATCCACTCGTAGTCTCAAATATACTGGTAATGGATGATATATTATAAGAGGGGTTAACATAACATTATAAGTTTCTAGCCTAATTGAGTTGAATATAAAGATATGCCATGTTAGTGCTTGATTATTTGATTAAGTCCTATCTAATGTGACATTGAACTCATACTTACAACTTAGGTAATAGTATCTCCTCATATGATTCTCTTTTAATTTCCCATTAAAATAATTACAATGCGTCCTATCAATTAGGATAAATAGGAATTATTAAGGTGATTAATAGGCTCAGCTTAGTTTGATGTTGCTATTTATTTGGATAGTTGATATCCATTATGGAATAATCCCAATTATATTTATAGGTAGCCTCTACAGATGACCAAAATTAATAGTGTATCTTCAAGTTGAATGAGATACCTTGGGAAATTATTTGTTCCAAATATAACCTTAGACTAATGGACCAAATATTATTAATTGATTCTTCCCTAGCATATAAGAGTTAGAGAGGAATCTAAGAATGGGAACAATAATAATATTACCCGAAATAATAAAAGGTGACTTGGGCATAATATAACTAGCAATCTCCAGAGAATAGTCTTTAGAGAGTGGTTAATTAGGAACATTGATTATATTATAGTCACCCCTCTATATATCCCCATTAAATAAGTGTGACTCTTACATCTATGTTTATCACTAATGGTCCTTAGTTATATTAACTAACCTGATTATATACCCTGTTTGTAGGGTATATTTTAATAGATTAGTAGGCATAAATAAGAGATCATGTAACCATCAATAACTCCTCTAATAATATTTGACTTTATATATAGGAATATGGTTTGGACCATCGAATATATTCTCTTCATAACTCTATTAGTATGAAATACCCTTATCGTAAAATTCTCTAGATACCATTAAAGGTGATCACTAATTTATAACAATAATTTGATAAGTGCCACTAAATCAGAAGGTTAGAGAATACTTACAATTATAGATGAAGCCATACTATAAAAGTAATACCAAGCTAGGATTACCTAACTACATTATATTGGTATATCAATGTATACAAGCTATTAGGATCTACGTATTCTCATTATCACCTTGTTACTATAGGTAATACCCTTAGAGTGGAGGCACCTTGACTTGGAGAAATCTCCATCATGGGTGATATATCATTAAAGTGTAGCCACATATAATTTGGAGATTAACCTTCTATTAGAGTTAGTATAATCCTTTATAATTATTGTTCACCATTATAGGGAGATTAACGAATTATTTAAGGACCAAATGAGATAAAAGTAACCAACCTATCAACAGGAGATAATTATTGGGTTTACTCATTAGAATATCCTCTAGCTATTTACAAGATAGGTAGTTCCATCATTAAACTTAGTTTGAGTGATATTCTTGGTAATGAGGGAGGGTACCTATTCTCCAATCTATTCAACGAGGTAACTATCCCTAGTCAATAAGTTTATAGAATTTGGTTTACCTTTATCTACTAAACTAATATTGACCTATTAACAATAGATAGATTTTTCCATCTAAGAAATTCTAATTAGCTATAAAACCAAATCGTATGTTTAGTAGATAAAGGAGGGATAATATTACCAAGGGGTAATATAATAGATTCATTCTTATAGAGTGTACTCTCAATTATTAGGTTGATAATCAATATTACTATGTTGAGTAATCGATATATAGAGATGGTAAGTAATATGGTAATAGAAACATGGTAACTAAACTAGGGAGGATGGTATATATATATATATAGATATGATAATGGGCACTATTTTAGGTCATTAGTCCTAACCAAGGGAGAAGTGCACTATATATATATAGGAATTCTTAACCTATTAACTCCATAATTAATAGGAATATTAAAAATTATCTACTAATAATGATAGGTCATCTCTTTGGTATAAATATTCATCCCTATTATGATAACATTGAGTGACTCCAAGCAAAATTCCTAGTCTATCGAGTAAACCTTAGTTAATATGGATCAATATGAAATATAATAAATTGTATTATGATATGGCTATAATATTAGGTTATCTATACATTAATGTTAATGAGAATTTAGAAATTAATATGGGAGAGGCTAGGGCCCATCTCATAGAAGGCCTCCTCTGAATCATTATCCATAATGTTATAGCTTTAGTACAATCATATCTCGTGTTTTGCATTAGATAGGTTGATGTTAAAAATACACCAATGACATAATACACCCAATGGTAGTCACGTAAAAGATTATAATGATGATAATAATAACTCTAGTTCAATAAAGCAATAGGTTTACATAAGACTAAAGACCCATAGGAAATGTTACTAATACGAGGTTATGTACCTCCCTATTCATTACTCTTAGTAACGATAAATGGTATGGTTAAGAAACTAAGGTATCAGCTGATATCATTGGGTCTATAGGTCTATTATGGTAATATTATCATTGTTCGCATTCTTCTATTATTAACCCTATTGGGTCTATAGGTCTATCATGGTAATATTATCATTGTTCCCACTACTTAGACACCATGGGCCTAATCTCGTGTCAATGAGGACCTTTAGCCTAAGCATATGATACTTCGTTTTTAAATTAAACAGATACTATTGTTATTCAACCCGAGGAGAACCCAAGCTTTTAGGCAAACTCCAATGAGTTCCATTGGTACCATAATCTATCCTAATTCAACCTATTAGATTAAAGGGATGATAGTATAATACCTTATTGATATATATTAATGTTATTAGGCTATTATCACTATTAGGGAGATAAGAGTATACTCGGCTATTATGAGTACATATATTGGTAACATCATTTACTCTTTTTCCCTACTAGGATATATTTATTTATCATAGTTAGGATGATTAATTTATGATTAATCTTTTACTCTTAATTTAGGTAATCTAAATATAATCTTTAGGATTAGTAACTTATGTAATCATCTCTTAAAATAGAGTACACCTCATTTTGTCAAAAATAATTTAAACTAGATATCACTTTTATTAAAGTCTGGTCTATCCCTTGAGTAAATGCCTCCGTTTTCCTAAATTATAAGAATATATCATAATATGAGGCAATAAAGATTTGGAGAGATAGATTAACTACTATTAGTAAAAAATTGTGTGATATAGCTAGGACAAAAATTAACTCCTCCCCCATAGCAGTGGGAGGAGTTAATTTAAGAAATCTTGATAAACTATTGTTAATAGGTCATTCTGTCATAGAATTTCTATGATTATGATTAGTGAATATTAACATAACCCTAAGGATAAGACATCTAATGAGTTCCATTGGTATCATAGGAAAATCTAAAGTAATTAAGTGGTTTGTCATATGATCATATAACCTACTATTTAGGTTATATGATCATCTTAATAAAATCTATTGATAAGTCGAGCCTAAAAGAGTGTTACAATTAGAACAACCTATATATTTTCTAATTGAGGGGACAATATCTATTAATGATAACCCACACAATAATATTTAGGGCCTAATCTTCTCAAACCTTCAAGAAAGGGATAATGTGTATATGGGATACTTAAAGAAATGATACCCATCTTATAAGGATGGGTATCAATGAGTGATTTTACTAGATATAGGCCATACTTATAGGACATAAGGTAAGTTGATATTATAAAAGAGTAGTATCAGTATGTTAGGTATAAGTTGATATCATGCAAGAGTAGTGTCTCTATGTTACAAGGACATACTTTAACATGGATACTATTTGTTCCTTAGATGACCAACATTCTCCCTCTGTTTCATTAGGCCTTGAGTAATACAATTATCGTGTAAACATGAAGAACCCGTTATCACTACTAGTAGGTTTGTTCCTCCATATAAGAACCACATCTATTATTTCCTATGGGTTATTTAGATAATATTATTGCCTAATGCTCTTTATTATTGTACCCTAATAGATCACATTTCGAAGAACAATTGCTCATGTATTAATTTAACCTATTAGTTTATTTTCCCATGTCTTTTCCCTAAATAGTCCTAAACATATTAGATTAAGTCATAAATTTTTGGCCCTATTTATGAGTAAACTGATTACAATACCTTATCATTATAAATATCAATAATTATGTTTTAACCCTATATTAAGCAAGAATTAACGTTTAAATATTCCTTGGTTAAGTTTGTCTAACATGGATGTGGATATTTATATAAATACCTATCTCCACTCTAGGTAATTGAAAAGGTATTATAATGAGGACCATTTATGCATTAAATATTCCCATTCTTGAAAATAATCCCAATAAAGGAGGACGATAATGTAAGAATTTAAAATACCATAAGTGCTTGAAAATCCTTATCTATGTTGAGTTTGGTGACCATAATGTGATCTCCCAACTTATGTCAATGTTAGGGCCCAAGGACTATAACATTATGGAGTTTCATAAGCTAAAGGAAAACTATAAAAGCCATTAATCATAAGGTGAGAGATCACATAATGTTAGAGTCCCTTAGGCCCTAACATTGACGTCAGTGGGAGATCACATTATGGTCACCAAACTCTATATAGTGAGGATTTCTAGGCACCTAGGTATTTTAAATTCTTACACTATGGTCCTCCTTTATTGGGATTATTTTTAAGATTTGGAATATTTAATGGGTAAATTGTCATATATCAACTTATATGATAATGAGGTTGATATTGAGTGTACTATCATTGTTGAACAATGAGGACCTTGTAGCAAAATGTAACTAATAACAAAAGAGGGTTAAGTGGAAAAGTTAAGATAGGATAATATTTCTTAGGATTGAACATACTTAGTTATAATTGGAGTTAATTAAATAGGTCATTACAAGAATCAATTATTTACCCCAATGCTTAGGGTGAAGCAACCTCTCTATATGCCGATGCAATTAATCTCCTAATTAGTCGACATCTCAAGTATTCCCGGATCATAACCATATGTTACATAATAATCAATATTACTTTAGACCTTGTAGCAAATAGAGAATATGTAATTAAATTAATGGATCTACATAATCAAGTATAAGCTCATGATAGATATCACTAGTATAATGGATAGGAGCAAAACTGTTTGGAAGAAATATGCAATCTAATAGTAATAATGATGATAAATTATATTAAGATTAAATATTGAGATTTGGATTTACAAGTATATTAATCTCCCTCTAATCTAGGCTGTAAGTTAAGAGTTCACAGTGTCTAGAGGGACCAATAATTTTACATAACAATTATATGGATGTGAGGGAGATTTTTTATAGGGTTGACCATATGATAGTTATGAAATATCATAATGGGATTATCCATTTTTACAATCCTTACAAAGAGATAGGGTTTATAATCCGGGTGATTCCTACTAGAATAAGCCTAAAACACATTTAAGGATTAGTCATTTAGATGACTATAATCCCGTACCCTAGTTAATTGATTACCAAATATACTTAATACATCATATGGAAAATAGTACTTCCGTTATGATCACATGTGTAGATTTTATGGGGTAGATTATAATTTATAGGGTAGCCCACCATTAAACTGTTCACCATCATCAACCTAATTTTATATATAGGATATCTCCTTAGGAGTTAATTATATTGATGCACATATCAAGTAAAAGATATCCTCAATGTGAATATAAGTATAATAGTGATGAAGTGGCTAATAGTTATAATACGATGATAGCTATAATTGGTTAAACCATCCTATGGAGATATTCTTGATAACCATATTGAACTTTAATTTAAGGGTAACTCTCTTATGATCAGTTAAGGCTATTATATATCTTTACTCTAGTGGGATACAATCATTTTTCGATGTCACCGAGAGATAATATTGTAGGGATAGTTTTTTAAAATAGCCAATTTGATAGTTAGAGGATACTATTTATAAATCAAAACATATAGTTAGTGATAACATAAATTGTAATCCAACCTATTTCAAGTCATATAGGTATCATATGCATTATGTTTACACAATGGGTGACTTAAAATCCCATAACACTGAGTTAAGTCCTCGGTTACTCTTAATCTTGGCTATAAATTATAAGAATGGGTATCATTTCTTTAAGTATCCCATATACACATTATCCCTTTCTTGAAGGTTTGAGAAGGAAGGGGAGAGAGGGATATAAAGGGAGTTAATAATTTATCGTTTACCCCTAGCTATTATTAGAGGAACATTATTAATGTCTGCTGAATTCCCTATAGGTTTCCTACTATTTCACATTGCCGAAGACCACTTTGGGAGACACTCATTTACTTAGTATATTTCGTAATCAATTAAATAAGGTATATACAACATAACGGTATGGTACTATAAGAAGTTATGAGGAATTCGTAGGGAAATATTATCGGACATATAATCGGGCCAAGATTAGAAGGAGATTTTTTAACCTATCCCTAACAATTAGGCTTTATTCCATAATATAGTGATTATATATTCCTCCATATCTAGGGAAGAGAGGAGAAAGCTTATCCTTATATTAAGACAAGTCACATGATATGTTATAGTCCATATAACAATATTATATGGTACCTATATCAAATATCACCCCTTAGTGTATCATATGTATGATGGTACATATGGAGATAATATTTATCTAGGATCATGTAAGTTAATCTACAACAATATAATTACCCTAAGATATGGGTACCTATATATTACTGGTTGATAATATGGCATGAATAAAAGAGTATACATCCCTTAATTATGCTTACTATTTATAGGACCTCGAGGTAATTCCTATAAGGCACCATATCATTACTATAATATCTCCACTAATTATAGGATATCATAGCATTAAGTAATAGAGAGGTGATTAGTGGGAAAATTTCATAATCCCTTCATGGCAGATTGAGGTGCTATTCGTCACTAATATCCTTGTTAATATAATGGGATAGCTATTTGATTTATTCAACGATTACCTAGGATTTTCTAACCTATATTAATATATTTGAAAGATAGATATTTGAATAAGTATGGACTATATACTAAGCTATATAGGGATACTATTGGCTTGAATGATATAGGGGTCTCCATAGATATTATGGGCCAATGAATAGATTCCTTAGAGAACTCTTTCATAAAAATGTTATAGGTACCCCCAATATTTGATTTTCCATATATTGACTTGGAATTATCTCCTCCATATCATATTATGAGGGTAATGTTATAAAAATATGATTACTCTATAACCACGAACTATATACGGATTAACCACTAAGTTCCTCATAGAAATACCATCTCGCCATTGATATATTATCATCATTTGGTCTTTAGGGAGACACCTAGGTAGCTTAAATTAATAGAGGTTGTCCATCTCTCTACTAAAGAATTTAGATCTGTAATCACCAAAGTAGTCTTAGGTAGTTTGAAATAGTATCATACAATTATAGTTCCAAAATTACAATATAGTATATCAAGTTTAGTCATACCTCATTATATATTATATCAATGAGAAGAGGAGCTATTTGAGTTAAGGTCAAATAGCAAGCTCAAAAGTTAGGTAAACTTATTGAGCAATCCTATTATACATGGTATTTAAGTTATGACTATGTTGACCTATTATATGCTAGTAATCAATTTATAGGTGTTAAATATTAAACATCATGCCTCCCTATAAAAGATGTCCCATTTTAATGACGTATTTAATGTCTCTTCTAGTTAGAGGATGAATATACTATTGTGATCCTTATTTGGAGATTATAGAACTATGTTTAATATTATAAGCTAGTATATTATTGGTGTAATTACATATTTTCATCCTCTCAAAGATAGCACTTGGGTAATAGAGGAACTAGGGCCATATCTCCCTCACTAATAATCTTGTGAGAGAGAGGGAGAATATTGGTTATTCTATATTATATATAACCAAATATAATAGGTTAATAAATATAATTTGTCCCTAGGATAAATAGATAAGCCTACAATCTTAAAATAATAGAGAGAAGTCAATTCTAAGCCTATTCTTATCCCTATTCTATCACCTGGCTTGATGATCGATTGTTAATTAAAGGCCTTGTAAGCACTATATGAATAGGAGGCAAAAAGATGGGTTAATATGAGCCTAAAATTAGAGAGGCGAAGAAAGTAGTATAACCCTATCAAATAAGGGACACAAATCGGGCATCCTCTATATCATTAGAATACTAAGTTGGACCTATAATACATCATCTAGGTTAGATGGAATACCTAATTGAAGCTAATATTGTAATCATTCATGTCTATTAATAACTAAGATCCATCGATGGATCATAACCATTATTTAATCCTAGTCTATAAGTAAGATAGAATTAATGGTAAACAGAGTTAATAATCCATATAAGGGCACTACTTTTATCACTATGATAACTTGATTGTACCTAAAATGGTCCGACTAAAAAGTAACCAATAATATGAGCCCATAGAGATTAAGTATGATACTATTTCACACTGCCTAAGACCACTTTGGTGATTACAGATCTAAATTTGAGTCTATGGAATATATAAGGTATGAGATAGCACCATGATAATTCTATTATCCATCTTCCTCTCTCTACTATAGAATTTAGATCTGTAATCACCAAAGTGGTTATGAATCCTCTTAGATCATTAGTCCAATAGTGATGGGAAAGAGTAAGGACGATTATATTTCTTGGAGTACACTGGCTAAGAAACGTCCCCTAATTGGTAATCATTCATCCTTATATCCTTTCATCTTAATCGGACAAATCCTTAGTCAATACCAATTGACCCAAACCCTAAATGTGTATAATGAATTATATAGTATAATTTTCTTGTAAGACAAATAATCTAGGGGAGGGGCAATATATTTACTATTTATGAGGTAATACATCGTTGTAAAATGTCTAGGTTTGCATATATATATATATATATTGATAACACTACTATATATGGTCTATTGCCCAGTTTCTATCAAACTTCATTGGATAACAAGAACAATGGCGAGATTGTGAACCCCTATATTACCATGTAGTATTGTCATAAATATTAGGCTAGTCAATAACATGATACTAATATTATGATACTATTTAACTTAACAATATCCTTATGCCATTATATGTTGATTAAATAAGTGCTTATTTCGGTAAAAGATGTTTATGACAATAAATAATATTGATGTGTTACCATCACTTGTTTATCTCTATAATCAAGTACAAAATAGAGTGAATATTATTTAGTATCTTTACTAAATTATTTGGATAGATATTATGAACAAATTATTTGACCATGATAATCAAGTGGGACTATTTCGATCATAATTAATAAGATACTGGTTAACTATACTAAAAGTCCATAGCCCAATTATGGCTAACATTATTCGAGAAACAAGTCACATTGAATTCTGCCACATATGATATTGGTTGACTCCTCGTATTATTGATTCGAAGTACAAATAGAGATGGAGAGCATTCTAGTAGTATTAGTATGAGATAGATGTACATTGATCGAAGGCCTCCTCCGAATCACTCAAGATACCATCACTATTTCTTAATAACCCATTACACTTAAATATTTCTATTTAAAGGATTCTATTTTTAATACAATTCCTCTATAATCCAATATTGGTTCGACACTATCCATATAGCTATAAGTTTTCTCCCATTTAGCAAGGACGATAATCAACGATGGATAATAGTTTGTTAATGGATAATTTTATATCTAAATAATTGGTTTGGAGGGGTGGCTAATAGATGGGATATGTATCACAATATATATAGGAGAAAACTATATCCTAAAAATTGAAGTTCATAGAGGTGAGGAATAGCTTATCTATAACAGGTTACACCTTAAACATGCACCATTTGACCGTTGATGGTCATTAATCTCCTTTTATATTATCCTCGCATAATAACCCATTGAGCTATAGATTAGGATTTGTTAAGTGGGAGAGAGAGGAAGAGAGAGAGGGATGCAAAGAGAGGGGAGAGAAGCACCATTTGATCGTTGATGGTCATTAATCTCCTTTTATATTAACCTCCCATAATAACCCATTGAGCTATAGATTAGGATTTATTAAGTGGGAGAGAGAGGAAAAGAGAGAGGGATGCAAAGAGAGGGGTAGAGAGAGGGAGAGAGGAAGCTAAGTTCGGTAGGGTTCTACATTGATTTAATATCCTCACCACCAATCAGTAATCCCGAACTCTTGTTTTCTACCTAATACGATTATTGTATTTGGAGTTGTAGGCATAACTATATACCTTTAATCCAACATATTTGGCTAACCCTATAAGATTCTCTATACCATGTCAAACTATTAGAAGGTATGTTGATAGGCTCAACCAAATCACAAGCCGTAAATACTTATTCAAATTTGGGTTTGGGGAAGGCATAATGTGCAATCAATATTATTATATAATCTAACATCAACTAAAAGTGAGGAAAACAATATCAATAATTTTCTGTAGGTGATAAGTTGAAGGAAATAATACTAAAAGATTGATTGTGTATAGTTTAGTAAAACCTACGCCATTTCATTAAATGGTAAGGGAGAGGGAGAATGGTTAGAGAATATCACCATCCTCAAAAATAAAAAAACATAGCAAAACATGACTTATTAGAATATTATGCCTATATAAATAGGGATAATATTATCTTATCATATGTTATGTAAATTGCCTCTCTCTATCATGGAGGGATCACAATCATCAAGAGGGGTCTCTCAATATAGGGATAATATTATACTAAAATATAGATATAAGGGTTTTAATAGCCGTACTAAATGATATTATCTAGTTTTTGAACAATCTATCTTATATAGGTCCATTTATTATATTTGAGAGTGATCCAAGCCATCACCTAAATTGATCATTTGATAGAAATTCAATAAGGTTTTATAACAATTTCGATACCTTTCGCATAATTGGACGAGAAGGCTTATATTAGAGAGAGGCATAATTAAATATATTTTGAGTATTCTATCAACAATCTTTTCCTTCTCATCATGAACCGCACCATGAGGATATTAATTCGACTTTACCATTAGTGAGAAGCTAAGGGAAGGAGGGAGATAAAGAGAGAGAGAAGCCAAGATTAGTTGATAGTACCATGACAGGTTATATTGGCATGTTTAACTTAATACGTATTTAGTATAGTCCATAAATATGATCTTATCCATATAAAATCAATTATATCACTAGCATTTCCCCTCCCTATTTTGGTGAGAATAACTTTATCATAATTCATCGGCTAATTAGGGTTTAACATATCCTTATCGCGAAGGGTGGAGGGAGGAGAGAGAGGTAGAGATGGAAGTATATATCTAATATGGTATGATTAAATGCTAAAATCGTAAAATTATTCCATATTGGTGTACTTTATCATTAACTTCCAATTCTAAATAAACATCGTTGGTCCGCATAATAGAAAAGGAGACATTGACTATATGCGGATAGACTTATGAGTGCTATGTTCATGATAATAATAGTAGTAGGAGATCTCACACCTATTAGCATGGTGATGCCAAAGAAAACACTTAGGTAATTTATGTTAGAGAACATGTCATTGGACTTTACTTGCCTTGAGAACCCATTTGTTTTTAGTCTATGGGAATCTCATACGAGATGGGTATAATAGTTTAGCTCCCTAACAACCTAAATGCAAAGGATTGAGTGGGAGAGAAAAGGGAAAATTATTATTAGTTGATTAACAACCTCAATAGATTATTATTATTTGAATATTGAGGGAGTTATACCTTTTAATCCTTTAGTAACATATCATAGTGAGTCTGTAGGAACAAGCAAAAATCTCATAGTTTCCCTAATTGGAAGATAACACGGATATGTTGTTGTTTTCATATGGGTCTATCTATCTTCCACTCTCTCATTTGACATTGGCTAGATTTCACCCCTAGAATCTATAGACAATAATCTAACTCTCCACTTAAATCTCCCCCTAAGTTTTTAGTAAAGCGAGATATCTAAATGTGGAGTGAGGGGCCCCAATGTGCACCTTAAGTTTCTAACTAAAGTTGTTAGGATGAGACTTCCCTTACAAGGAGATGGGTAAAATCCCTCTCTCCTAAAATACCCTTTAACCTAAATTAGGAAACAAATTTCCATAGGGAGGGGAATATATCAAGGTGAAAATTAGGCCCCATTGAAAAACATAGAATACTATAGGTACTTTTTCTCCTTTGGTCTCTCTCTCCATTGATAATAAAATATTTTCAAGGGAGGAGAGATGGTTATTCTTAAGATTAGGCCAATAAGAATTGCTTGGTATTCAAATAGCCATCCGCCATTAATCCGTGTTATTAGTCTTTAGCATAAACTATGAATAGTGGATGAGTAATGGGTCATTTCTTCTATGTTTCTTTCCTTCGCGACTATTCTTGTGCCTAAGGGTACAATTTAGAGAATTGAGAGGCATATGGTTATTTTTTTGTGGAGTTCGTCCGGAGTCCAAAAGTTATATATATTAGGGAGGGAGGGGCCTACTATGTCTTCCTCAAAATCGAGTTTGATCATAGTTAATAGCAAATATTGTCAATTGGTTATTATTAATAGAGTGGTTAATAGCATATATGGACCTATAAATAATATTAAATTACTTCTCTCATTTTGGACTAGTTCATTAGTATGTTCTACCAACAAATTTATCACAATTATACTGATTATAATTTCTCTCTATCTTAGGGGGTAATTAATGACGTTTAATGATATCATTTATAATTACATTATGATTATCAATAATATTCATAATATTTTTAGAATATAATATTCATATATTGGTTAATAGTTATGATAAATTTAATTAATATCTTATTATATTTGAATAATATTATAGTAATTTAATATTATAGAAGATCATATTGATTTAATTGGTATTCAAACATGTAATTTATTAATAAATGAATATAAACTATTACAACTATTTAATATACCAATTATAATCAATATGGTTCCATGACGTTATAATAGTTGTAACTAGGTCCAAACAAGATAGATTATAAATAATTTAAATAATCAAGTTGAAAATATCTATTGGCATACACTTGGAAAATTCAATCCTCACATAGAGATACTAATGACTCAACTTTACCAAGATTTGGACCATTAGAAGTGGGCATTTGTGAGCTAGCAGTACCATGTGGGAATGTGCGAAGACTCAATCATTATTAATTTAGGAGAGACTAAAGATCTTATTTTCATTTCTTATTTTGAATAAGTATTCCATTTTTAAGAATAGTGGCTATTTTTAAAGATGATGTTTTATGAAAAAGAGGTGATAATGGATAGTGAGGGAGATTATTAAGCACATTCCTAGTTTGGGTTACCATAAGGAGAGGTTAATATCCTCAAAGGTGTATAGTTGAACAATCTCCATTCTAATTCTGGTCCTTAGTGATTAACTCATATGGATGAAAACTCTTGATAATAAATAAGAGAGTGATGACTTAACACTTATTGGTTAATTATAAGAAAGAGGGAGAGATATTGAAAAGATGAGAGAGAGGCAAATTTGGAATGAGGGCTTTACCCTAAATGGAGTCCTTTATTCTCGCTCAAATGGAGTAGTATATTCATACTCTCTCAACGATATTAATTTTTGGGGAATCCTAAGGCTAGGCAGACAAGTTAGTAAATTATGAGAGAGAATAATGCCTTATAATTGATGGGAGGGAGAGAGTATGACCAGCCTAGGGCCTTAATGTAATTTAGGATGTGCATACCTAAATGGGTATATGCCAAATTGAAATAGGATTAAATTACTTGCACTAGGGGAATGTGCCTCTCCCTCTATGAATCATTTAGAATAAACCCCTCTCTAATCAATTATTGGTCGCTTCTCCTACTCTCTCTCTCCCCTTTCACTCCCTCTCTCTCTTCCACTCTCCCCCATCTTTATCTCTCCCTCTTGGTCATTCGACTCACCTTAGTAAAGACATGGGAGATCCTTGATGTTCACACGATGGTCAATATTTATCTATTTGGCATTCAATAGATTTAGACCCTAGAGTGATTCTTAAAGGGAATACTTAGGTGAGTCAAATGGTCAAGAAATATTAGATATTTAAAATGGGTACCAAGCTCCATTACTAATGGTGAGAACTATGGTACGCAACTATATAGAGCATGGTCCATATTAACAATCTCCATTCCAATTCTCCCTATAGAATATGCTCATATAAAAAATAGATCACTCTTGAATTTATACCATGCTCTAATGTGTCCTACATCTATATAGTTGGCATCAAACTAGGTCCAATTCTCAAGTTTTTGCCATGCTTATACCGTTCCACGAATTCCAAAGCCCATTAGTCATGAAAGATTTGTGGGATAAACATTTAAGCCAATGGTTCCATATTAAGAACTAGTTATATCGTTTCTTAAAGAATACAATTAGTAACAAGAGGAGGATTGAAAACCACATTATTAGTCCAGTTGATTAGATTCCCATTAATAGGAACGTGGTCCAACCGAAGTGACCACTTTCTCTCCCACCAAAACTCTCCCTCTCTCTCACTCTTCCCCTCTTAGATTAATTAGAGTGCACGCAAGTTATTTTGTCATATTACTACTTAGAAGACCATGTGACTATTGATTACTTGTTAGATCCCTTAGCATGGTCTCCCCTCTCTATCAACATAGTCATCATCCTGCTAAATAAAGCGAGCAGTAATCTCACCATTTAATGGGAGACATTGTAAGGGATGGGAAGAAAATCCTATTCATTTGTTTTTGACCTATCACCCCTCTATAAATAATAGTTTGGGACTTATATAGATAGTTTTCTACCATTGTATACGATATGGGAATAATAGATAGAGGCGATATATGTTATAATAAATGGGTATTTATTAGACATGTGAGAAGGTGAGGGAAGGAGGGAGATAGAGAAAAATGATACAAATTATAGCTAATCTATAATGACCTCTCCTCATTTTACCTCTCTCTACCATGCACAATATTTTCTCTCCAATAAATATTTACCCAACTCGTTAATTTCCTAAATCATGAGGGCTTTTACACTAATATTTAATTTTCCTTATAGATGGTTAACTAGTATATTACCAATATTAATTGGTTAATACCTTTAGGTTACCTTTTTCCATAGATAGATTGACTAATTATCCTCCTCCTTGGCTTACCTAGCATTTATATTAGGATTCTCCAGTAATCATCTCTTTTAGTTAGCCCTTAAATACTTAAGCGATTAGTAGGTTAAGCTTTTGTTGGGTAGTCAATTTTTGCCAAGTGATCGGACTAGGCTTGAGATCAATAATTATTAAAATAGACTCTCCATTGCTATTAGTTTATATAAGATTGTTACACTATACTCATCTACCTCACCTCCATTAGGCAATTAACTTAATAGTGAGGAGGATCCAAGAGATGGAGGGAGAAGATGTATTTAAAGATAATAGGAACGTAGAGGATGATGGCTATAAGGTGACCCCATCTCTAACACATCCTATAATTCAATCTTCCAAATAGTGGTGGTACTCTATGTCATAATTCTCTCTTATAGAGGGTCATACCATCTACAATGGAGTGAGGGATTGATGCATATTAATCCCTAATATACTCATGAGGTCCAATTAAACTAAATCGACTTATCAAGGATTGCAACCCTTGTGGCATTCTTCACTCTATTGCATTATAGCTTTGATTCTTACCTCTTTATAGGCAAAAGATCAGGTTTTGCTTATTATAACTCGATTGAGTGCATTCTTAGGGTTGTCGAGCGACAAAGGTGTTTGGGTCTCTCGTCTTTATACATGGGGTTCACATCAATTTTTCTAATGCATGGCTAGCCTATATAAAGAGAAAGTGAGGCCAACATATTAATCCTATATTAGGTCATTATCCTCATTAGATAGGTCTCATAATACTGGTATTATGACTATTTAATATACCAATTATAATCAATATGGTTCCATAATAGGGAGAATAATTTAAAGATCCTTACGATTATGATAAAGATAGGGTTAATGAATCATTTAATTAGTTTATCCGGCCTAGTAAGTCGAATAAGAGAGAAATATAAAGATACTAATCATAACATATATTGATTAACAATTTTAAATGACTCATAGTAATATTTAGTTTATAAAAAGGCCAATGTTTTGCTGGTACATATAACTCTTGGATCCTCGAAAGTGTATCGAAGCTAATGGCCGAGAGAAGGAGATCGTATGACCAATAAGCATCTTATGAGATTAATGGTGGGCTACCCTATCAATTATAATCTACCAAACCCTATCTATAATGCATATATGGAGGGAAAGGCAAAACTCAAATGTTCATAATATATGTAGACGTGCAAATATTAAGAGATATTGCCAATTGCGATCAAATTCTAACAACCAAGAGAAAAATAATGAAAGGATAAGTTAACCACTAAATGTAGGTCAATATATTTTGCCTCTTTCTCTCTCTCCCTTCATTTAAGATCGTATAATATCCCCTCACTTAAGGTAGAGATATCATTAACATATAATTGGGTAATTAGGGACTCTCAATTAGCTATAATGGCAAATATAATCCATTATCTAAATTGGATATATACTCCCAATGATATAAGGACTCATTCAAATATTAATGTGACGCCCCGACCTTAGTCCACCGACTATTACCCAAATAAAAGTGACTAGGCAAGGCGCGTCATATTGACACTACCTAAACCCTAATCATGTCTTGTACGGTGTACTTAAGAAATTAACAACACCTTACATAGCAAGACTACATATAGAAAATTTTACATGACATAACTAATTACGGTAACAAAATATTATAATTAGTGGTTGATTACGTACAGATTCCATACCCTCAAATTATAGAAAAAACTTGTTTCAGCTTTGTGTTACACATGAGTCTCTTAGGAGGAGCCGACCGCATCTTTACTATTTTGTCCTTTTCCTGTCACATCATAAAAATAATGACGGGGTGAGCCGAAGCTCGGTAAGTGGGGTGATGCACATGATATGCAATGCTTTTCCGACTTCCCACCATACTCATCAATTTTAATTTCGGGTACCTTGAGTATTAGTTAGTCTACTCTATTTTTAATCTAGGTGATTATCAAATCACCCTCTACTACAATGGAATTATCCCTCGTTGTAGCCACTCGTTAGCGAGAATACATCGCTTAATAGTGTAGGCACATAGCTTAGAGTAAGCACACAACTGGACTACTAATACCCATTTTTCCTATTAGGTTACCAAACCTAATCGTGTAAACCAATTCTCATTCAATTGAAGTTTTCTCCATTGTCCCCACAATGCACATGATGCACGTGATATTATATGTACCATATTAAACATATCCAACCCATATAAGATCTGACTTTATATATTTTCATAGGTCTAACCAACACAGGGTTTCGGGCATGCTCATACCTCTTATCATCATGAAATATTTTTATTTTATATTTATTTGAGCCTTATTGATCGTTAATTACATTATTTGGGTGAGAGGAATGGAAACCAAGCAAGTATGAGGTAAAGGTGATGAATTTCAAGTGACCAATGAATTACACGAGAAAAGACACGCCCGTGTAACTCTTTGACTTGAAGAAAAACACCTTTCTTCATTACACGAGCGAAGACACGTCCATGTGGAAGGCCATGTAACTCTCGACTTGAAGAAAAATACATTTCTTCATTACACGGGCAAAGACACGCCATGTGGGAGGCCGTGTAACTCTTTGACTTCAAGAACAATACATTTCTACATTACACGGACAAAGACACACCCGTGTGGGAGGTCGTGTAACTCTCGACTTCAAGAAAATGCATTTCTTAATTACACGAGCAACGACACGCCCATGTGAGAGGCCGTGTAACTCTCTGACTTCACGTTTGCTCAAGAAAACCCTAAATTTTCATTTTTCTTTCCTTCCTACTCCATTTTATTCATGCCTAGACAAGTTCCAAGTTCGCCCATCATGTTTTGATCAACCGCACAACCTAACCAACACAACTAAGCCAACAAACACCTCATAACCTATACACAAGCTTAATCAATTACAATCACATCAATTGAATGGCATGAAGCATCAAAGAAAGCATCAAAGAAACTTACTTACATAGATATTCCATAATAACAAACAATCCTATGCCAAACAAGCATGACAAGACCAACACCTCAATACCACACAACATAATTGGAAGCTTAAGCAAATACATCAATTTTCATGGAAGGATCAAATAAATGACATAAACAAAAACCCACTTACCTAGTTTGGATGAGGTTAGGTTCCTTTAGCTTTTCTTCCCTTTTTCCTTTCTTTTCCCTTCTCTCTTTCTTTCCTCTCTTTCTCTCTTTCTTTTCGTTTTTCTCTTCCTCACACTTGGTTTTTCTTCTATCCTTTGGCAGCTACTAGTTTTTCCAAAATGTTTTCCATTCCCTCTCTTTCTCTATATATATGTGTCTTCCATTTCCTTGCATTAAATAGGTCTATATGTGTCTTGAATTAATTAGGCAAAGTGTAAAGTAATTTGGTGAGTCATGGTGAAGGTGGCGGGTTTGTGTGCAAGTTGGGTGAGCTAGCTCTCTTGCATTTAATGAAATGGCTTAGGTGTCCTAACTAAGGGATTAGACTAATTAAATACCCTAATTAACTTAGCTTCAAGTAATTAACATATTTCCTTCATAGATTTTCATAAATTCCCCCTCTAAACTCGAAAATTCCCTTCCCTTCCATTCTGATGTTTTCAAAGGAAAATATTCCTATATTCCTCAAAATTTTATACACACCCCTATTTCTCTTGTATACTATGTCCCAAGTACTTAATATATAATGAGTGGTAATTAATTAATTTATTTGAAACTTCATCCCAAAATTCTCACATAAGTACTAATTAACCATCATCACCAAATAGTTAAAATGACACTTACAATTGCACTCGTACTTAATGTATATTTACATGAATATTTTAGCATATATATATGTCTACATATAAAGATTTTGATAGGGGTTACATTTCTCTCCCCCTTAAAAGAATTTCGTCCTCGAAATTGACCTATTTGAATAATTCGGGGTATTTATCTTTCATTTCTTCCTCCCGCTCCCAAGTCATTTCTTCGAGATCATGGTTTTCCCATAAAACTTTAACAAGACTAATCTTCTTATTTCTTAGTTGCTTGATCTCGTCTATCAAGAATTTGGATCGATCTTTCTTCATATGTTAAATCCGAGGTGAGGTTTGGTGGCTCCATCTTTAGAATTTGACTTGGCTCTCCTACACACTTTCTTAACATAAATGCATAGAAATACATTATGTACTCCTGCTAAGGAGGGTGGTAGCAACAGGCGATACGCTTTATCTCCTACTCGTTCCAATATCTCGAATGGTCCTATGTATCGTGGGCTTAACTTTCCCTTTTTCCCAAATCATAGTACACCGCTTCATCGATGAGACTCTTAGAAATACGTAATCACCAATCATGAATTCTAAATCTTTCCTCCTTTTATCGACATAACTCTTTTGTCCGCTTTGAGTCGCTTTCATCCGTTGGCGAATTCGGTCTACCACTTTGACCGTTTGCTACACCAGTTCCGGCCCTAACAACATTCTTTCTCTTATTTCATCCTAATGCATGTGAGATCTACATCGTCGTCCATATAAAGCTTTATAAGGAGCCATCCCAATTGAAGCTTGATAGCTATTGTTATATGCAGAATTCAGCTAAGCGTACATATCTCTCCCATTTTCTCGGACCAACCTAGAACGCATGCTCGAAGCATATCTTTAAGAATCTGGATTACACGTTCGGATTGTCCATCGGTTTATGGATGATAAGCTATACTAAAATTTAGCTTAGTACCCATGACTTTATGCAGACTTTTCCAAAATGCGAAGGTGAATCTAGGATCTCGATTCGACACAATCGAAATTGGAATTCCATGTAGTCTTACAATTTCATCCAAGTATAATCGGGCATACCTGGTTTAAACTATAGGTGGTTTTAACCGAAAGAAAGTGAGCTGATTTGGTCGGCTCGTCTATGACTAACCAAATGACATCCAATCCTCTTTTCGATCTTGGCAATCCTATGATGAAATCCATTGTTATATATTCTCATTTCCACTCGGGAATCGCCAATGGTTTTAACATTCCCGAGGGTCTTTGGTGCTCTGCCTTCACTCGTTGGCAAATTTGACACCTCGCCACAAAGTCGGCTATATCCCTCTTCATTCCCGACCACCAATAACATTGTCGCAAGTCTCGATACATTTTCATACCTCCCGGTGTATCGAATATGGTGTTGTGTGTGCTTCCTTCGGTATCTCATCTTTTACATCCTCCATCGCGAGGACACACGACCTTCCCTTGAATCTAATTATTCCTTTATCATCCATCATAAAATTAGACTCTTTTCCATCCTCTATACTTTTCTTTAACTCCTTTAGCTTTTCGTCCGTTTGTTGCCCCATTTGAATTCT